CTTTGATGACTCTGGAAGACAGAGTGAGGCTGATGACTTTGCCTCACTTAAATCTAATTTACTCACAAGTCAAGACATCACCCCATCACGTCATCGGTCCTCTTTGAAAAAGGTCAAATAATCACTACTTTGTCTTAAGTAACTGCTTCCTGCTTGTTAGTCTGGTTTGTAGCCAGATCACAGATCCTTAACCTGGAGATCCATGAACTTGTTTGTTAAATATTTTGATAACTGCATTGCAATATAATTGGTTTCTTTGGGAATCCTACTTTTTTATTTTATGCATTAATAAAAATTATTCTGAGAAGGGGTCCATAGGCTTTACCAGACTGATTTCCCAAGGGAGCCAGGACACAGAAAAGATTAAGGATCCCTCCCCAAGTAGACTGTAAGCTGGGGATGGAGGAGAGATCACTCTATCCTGCCAATGGGGCTCTGGACTTAGTAAGTGTGCAAAGCACATTTATTAAATTGAATCGCATCGAAATGAATCTTCTCGCACTCAAGTCCCAAGCACTGCACCAACAGCATCTCATTTGATCTTCACAAAAGCCCCCTTCATGACAGGTGTTAATACCTATCCTCATTTTACAGATGAGAGAACTGAGACTCAGAAAGGTCAGGTGACTTGCTCAGGGTCACATAGCAAGTATCTGAGGTAGGATTTGAACCCAGGTCTTCTTGACTCCAAATCCAGTACTCTATACCTCTCATAAAACTATAGACAAAAAAATTGTGGGGGATGGGAGCAGGGAGGGATCCAGCCTTGATTCCCTCCTTAAAAAGATTAGTTGAGTATCTCGTTTGTCATGTTCAACTCTTCCTGATCCCATTTGGGGGTTTCTTGGCAAAGATACTGTAGTAGTTTGCCATTTCCTTCTCCGGCTTATTTTCCAGACGAGGAAACTGAGGCAAACAGGGTGAAGTGACTTGCCCAGAGTCACACAGCTAGTAAGTGTCTGAGGCCAGATTTGAACTCAGAAAGATAAGCAGGCCTGAGTCCAGGCCTGGCGCTCTATGCACTATGGCCACCTAGCTGACCAGTTGAGTATCTTAATGTTCTCTAAACCAGCTTGACATTGCGCGCTTTACTATATCCCTCCCTCCAGAAACTTGTAGATCTTTGTCTGGACCTCTCAGCACTTCTCTCACTCTCTCTTATAGGAGCACAGTGATTTGCTACACATCTTCACCTCCTATTAGGTCATAAGCTCTTCAAGGGTAGATTCTAGGTCATTTCGATCTTTATATTCCCAGCAAGTGGTACAATGTATGTACTTGTATATTATTTTCTTTGCCAAAACCTGTAACTACTTCAGAGTAGAGAACTAACTCAGTGTGGACACAACTTCCTTTTATCTGCTTATTTGTAAAAAACGACAGTCCGAGACAGTAGCCAGGGCCCTGAATATTTAGGTGACTTTCCCATAGTCACAGAGCCAGTATGGATCAAAACCAAGACTTGAACCAATGTTTTCCAAACTCCAAAGCTGGCCCTCTGGCCACTAAGCAGCGCCATTTTCTCTTGAACATAGGCACCTAATATTGGTTAATGGAAGGATGAAAGGGTATTCCATGTTCAATTCAACAAACATTTACTAAGCGCTTACTATGTTTCATGTGCTACATGCTAAGTGCTAAGTGCTACGCTAGCTAGGCACAAGGGAAAGAAAGAAAAGGAAAGGGAGTCTCTGAAAGAATTTATGAGGCAGTTGGGGGGGGCAATAATTGAAGGTAAAGGATACTACATTTACATCAAGAAGTAAAAAGGACACTATTTGAAATTTTGAAGAGGAGGAGAGCACTGTCATTGGGATGGAGGTTAGAGAATTAGGGATCTGGATTTGGTCAGGTCTGATCAACCTTGAATGAAGCTCTGGATTCTGAGGCATAAGTGAGAAAGACACGTGCCCCGGGTAAGGCAGACAGCCTATGCAAAGGCACAGTAGGACACAGAACGCCAAGTTTAGAGAAGAGTATTGTGTTTGTTAGGGGGTAGTATAAAGAGAAATGAGGGGCAGTACGCCTAGTACTAGGCTGTAGCCAAATTGTAAAGAACTTTTGGGAGGGTGTGAGAACTTTTGGTAGGAAGTGGGAGGGGGGATTGAAAGGTGACAAGGCACTCTGGTGGCACCTTTGTCATTGAAGAGGGGGGGACAGACAAGACAGGTATGATGGATCAAGAATCTACCAGACTTGGAAATTGATTGGACATGGCAGGTGATAGTGTGATGGCCATACTTTGCTTGTAATGCATGAAAAAGATATAAAACAAAATGCCACGTGAGGTCAACAAGGCTCCGGAGCCACTGAAGTCATGGACCTCACTCTCTTACCACTTTTCAATTCCTTGAAACTTTTTTTATATCTTCCTTTGTCCTTTGGAAGCATTACCCCATCTTCTCAGGCATGAACTAAGGTCCCTTTGTGAAATTCCATGTTCTATGAAGGTCCTCCCAGCTCTGAAAGTCCATATCCTAAGAAGTTCCAGCCAGCTCTGGAATTCCATGTTCTAAGGTTCCTCTCAGCTCTGACATTCTGTGTTAGAACAGAGGTCCCTCCTAGCTCTCATATGCTCTCGTGTCCAGCTCAGACATTCCACGTTCTATGATTTCAGATTAAAGATCCAGAATTGATGCATGCCTTTCTTGCCAGGAGCCAAGAAAACAAATGAAGTGGTGCAATGACTGTACTTCCATTTATCCAAAGCCAAATATCCAATGCTGTCTACCACACACTTCTCCCAAGCTTCTCTATTTTTCTCATGACACAGAACCACTTGGTGCCGAAAGACTGCTGATATCCTGACAGTGTGGCTTAGTGTAAGATGTGCCAAATATCCCTAGTTCCACTTAAGAAGTTCCCTGGGTGGGTGGGTGGAGGCACCAATTGGACAGACTGCCAGCATGGACAACAATGGAAATAACCACCTAGCTTCTAGTCCCAGCTCAGCTACTTCTAATTGGAACCACTCACCTCATAGCTTATGTTTACATAGCATTTTATGGTTACTAGATACTTTCAAGGTCATTATCTTAATTGATCTTCCAACTAACCCTATGAGGTCTGTGGTACAAGAACTATTATCTTAATTTTACAGATTATAATAACCACTGTCATTTCTATAGCACCTTAAGGCATATCAAACAGCATGCTCCCAACATACCTGTTCTACAAGCAGTGTAAACATTATAATCCCTAAATCACCACTGAGGAAACTGAGGCACAAAGGAATGGAGTGCCCTGGATCATCTAACCAGCAAGTGTCCAGCTGGAACCTAAATCTGGGTCTTTCTTATGATGCAGTAAAATGAGCACCCGCTGACTCTGGCTCCAAAAGATGTGCTCATATCTGGCCTCTGGGGCTTAATACACAGGAGAATTTGGACAAGTCACAACCCCCCTGGGTCTTCATCTGTAAAATGAGCAAGTTGGATTAGATGACCTCTAAGGTCCCTTCCATCTCCCAAGCGATGAGCCTATAATCTCTCTCCAAATTGAGTGGTTTTTTCCACTATCATATTTTCTTTATTTTCCTGGGGAGGAAATTAAGGCTCTGGGAGATTAAGGGGTTTGCCAACCATCACCCTGTGAAGCTGGCAGTGATCTCCTAGGACCTCAGATCATCAGTGCAACCCAATCGTACCCCAGGTTGGCCAGCCCTGTGATCTTGGGCAATTCATTTCACCATTTTTTTCTTAAAATAATACTAATTAGGGGATTGGACTAACGGACTTCCAAAGTGCCTTCCAGCTCTGACTTCTATATTGTATAGTCCCTTTCAGATCTAACTACTTTGATGCACTCTGCATAACCTCTAACTTATCAGACATGGATAAAGATCATTTAATCGTTTGGGAGGAAAAAACACGCACAAAGCAGCAGCAGCAGCATGCGATTGGCTACATAATTGGTAGGCAACTCCAAGCGAAATTTATTTTCTTAGAAAAATATTGTTGTCGTTTATTAAATTGGACCCATTTCCCTTTCCTATCCATCGTTCTACAATTGGCAAGGACGAGTTTGGCACTTCACGAAAGCTGTTGGTTTTGTTTGTTCTTCGGCTCTGGCTCGGACCCTCAGGAGCATTTTTAGCTCTGGAAGAAACCTCGGAGTTCAACGAATCCAACCCAGTTATTTTAGAATCAGAAAAACTGAGTCCCAGTAGGAGGCCGGGAAAGTCACCTCACCTCTCCTTGCACGGGTAGTTTTATCTGCTCAGTGCCAGGCGAGAGGAGAGGGTCGGCGGTGTGTCTGACAATTCTTGTCCCACTTACCCGCATAGGGTACACTCCATACACTCCAAAATTGTAGAAATGCACGGTAACTACTCCCATCCAAAGCAGTCCACCCCTCCCCCAAGTTACCTGGTCTTGATTTGCAGTTGGGAGAAACTAAGGCAAATGACGGATAAATGATTTAACAGCTTATCTAAGTCAGGCTAAAAATCAAACTCATTAAGAAAAAGCTCTTTGTAAGCATTTCAATAAGAGGCAAAAAGGGAGAGGAAGATGCTTGCGATTTTGCGGCTCTGCCTTCTCGCCACCTCTAAATAGTTAATTCTCTGTGCTTTTCCCCCCCGTTCTCCCCAAAAGAGGCCCCGAAATTGCATTTGCTCCTCAAGCAATCCAGCACTGCAGGGGTTAAAGGAAAGTGGAGGGTGATGGTAAAGGGGTTGGGAGCACAGGTGTTCTGGTTCGGGTCTCGAAAGGGTTAAAAATATAAACGTGTTTATTCTTCCTCCAAGGTCTTGAGGTTGCTTTCCCCAAATGGGCAGCCCGGGATGGAGAGGAGCCCCTCTCTGAATGACTTTTTAAAAATACACATTTCTGTAATAACTTTCCGTTCCGGGAAATGTGCCCCGATCCCAGAGTTGTGCTCACCTTTCCTTCCCCCCCCAGGGTGCCCCCCTCCCAGCCCCCATCGCGGACTCCCCCCGACCCCCCCGAGCTAGGATAGGATCAAAGTCTGCCCACCCCAGGATCGGAGAGCTTCTTCCTCCCCCCCCCCGGCTCGGTAGGGCGCCGGGTGGGAGCCCGGGGAACTCAGGAGGCGCCTTCTGGGCCAAGTTGGGAAGTGACTGGTGTGTCCCAGCTCCGGCCCCTGATTTGGGGGGTCCGCGTCGGCCCCAAACGCCGCTTTCTTCCGTTTTCCATGTCATTTCCTGTACTAATAAGATGGTGGTCAAAGCTGGGAGGGAGAGAAGCAGCGAGTCGCCGCCGCCGCCGCCGCCGCCGCCGCTCCCAGGCTGGCTGTGAAAGTTTCCCTCGCCTGGGACTAGGGAGCCGGCAGCCGGGGCGCTCCCCGCGGCCGCTGGGGGCTGCCATCTAGGGGGGGCGAGCCGTCCCCGCGCGCCCCTCCGCCCCCGCTCCCGCGTCCACCGAGCCGGGCTGCTGCCGGATTCTCGGGGAAGGTGAGTCAGCTCAGCCCCTCTGGTCGCCAATGTGGCCAATGAAAATGGCTTCGAAGAGCGCTCGGCAGTTTGCCAGCGAGAGCCGGGGCCGGCGGTGCAGAGGCCGCGGGGCTGGATCGCTGGCGGGGGAGGCGCAGGACTGGCTCCGGCGGGCTCGGGGGTGGCCGGGGGCCCGGAATGGGGAAGGGGACTGCAATCGGGCTAAGGCGGGGGGGAGTAGGCTGGCCCCCGCTCCGAGGTGGGTTAACCCTCGGCAGGTAGCTGCTACCGCTGCGGGATTCGGGGCGGCAGCTGCCTCCGCCTCCTTCTTCCACTCGCTCTCTCGTTGTTACAATGTAGCCTTCCCCTTCCCCCCCCTTCCCTCTTGCGTTCTTTCCTCTGACTGACGTAGCTGCCAACCAATGGCAGAGGCGGTCCCGGGCCGAGCGTTCGGAATTAGAACGCAGTGACATGAGCTGGGCGGAGCTTGGAATGTTGGAGGGATCGCAGCTGCCGCTGGCCTAGTTCTCCTGGTCAGTTTCACTTCTTGGCTCGGCTTGTGGTTGCACTTGGCCTTGGGGACTCAGAGACTCGATGGGAACTGTAATGCGGCCTCTTTTAAGGGCGTAATGGATTTCCCGCTTAATGTGGCTAAACCAGCAGGCGGTGTTTTTCATCTTGGTCTCTTACTTGGGAGTGTTGAGTCTTCAGGAAATCTCCCCCTCCTGAATTTACACACACCCCTCCTTCTCCTTCCTCTCCCTAAAGCTCCAAGGTACTTTCTAATGCAGAAACTGCAGAAACTTTGTCATAGGGTGACCTTCCTCTCCAGCCCAGGAAGCCATATATGCGGGTTGATTCCAGGAGAATGCAGATGTCACTGGTGTGATATACAGATGGAAAAGTTGAGGGAGGATACCTTCTCCTGGCCCCTTTGAGCTCAGGTTGGGGGGGTGGGGGAGGGGAGGGACTCAGCCCCTTTAAAATCAGGCCAGTTGTCTGAGACAATTGGCATGATCTTCTAATTCAGTTCCCTCATTTTACAGAGAAAGAAACCGGGAGCCCAGGGAAAGAAATGTAACTTGTATCCTGAGATTATAGATTTAGAAGTGAAAAGAACCGTAGAGGTCCTTGGAAAGAGATAGCTCAACCTCTTTATTTGACCAATGAGGAAACTGAGGCCGACAGGCTAAGTGACTTGGCCAAGGTCACACAGGTAATTCCTGATAGAGGAAAGATTTGAACAAGGTCCTCAGACTCCAGACCCCGTGCTGTTTGTCCAGTACCTCAAGGTCAATCAGGTGGTAGTAAGTAGCTGAGCTCACATTCTAACGCTGGTCAGTCAAAGTGTCTGTGAGTTGCAGAGGGAACTGTGCTATCCACACTTTGGATGTGGAGCCAAAGACCTTGCCCCTGCCTTCAAGGAGTATATATTCTACAGTGGAATGCACATATAAATATATATAAAATAAGTAAGCATGGGAAGTAGGCCTGGGATTTTGCTGGTCTTGGGAACTCTCAGGTGAGCAAACTTCTTACACGGTGCTGGTCAGCACCTTCTCAGAAACTTATAGTCTCAAAGAGCCCACAGTATGGAGAAGTGGACTTGCCCAAGGTCAGGGGTGACTTAAACCCAGGTGCTCCATCTGGAAATCTAAGCATTCTGTCTTCCTGCCCCGAGACAGCCCGGGGAAACATCAGACCTCCCCTGACATTTGTTTCAACGTTTGCTTCAAGTCTGTAAGGACAATGGTATATGATTTCAAGGGGATGACACAGAATGCGCCCAATTCCCTGACCACTGTAGTGGAGGAGTAATAATGAGAGCTTTCTCTTGATGTTCAGACACACGTTTATGAGTTTTGTCTGAACTTGGCCGAGAGAACATTCCATGGATTTTGGTATTCGGAGTATTCACCAGTTGCATTGGGCTGTATTAGGGAAGACTTAAAGGTATGATTGCTCGGACGTAGAATTCCCTTATTGATAACAAAAGCACCCTGTGGTCCACCAGGTCAGATAGTAGAGAATGTACTTGATCCACCACCAGGGTATGGCAGCGTGGCCTGTTGGAGTGAGGACTTTTGGTTTTTTAGCATTAGGTCCTAGCTGTGATTATAGGACTCACCTGGGAACAGTTGAGGAAGAGAACTGATGGGTCGGAGTCTCCTGGTTGAGTACTATGGAAAACCTCAACCTGCTGGTGTATTTAGTTCTGTTTTGTCAACCACATTTTTGGGAAGTACTTGGACAAATTTGACCATCTCAAGGAGCCCAGCCAAAATCTCCAGGGAACAAAATATCGCATCATGTACAAGGCATTTGGAGAAACCTGGGGACGTTTGTGTTTTGCCTGGATTGTGGGCTGAAAGTAGAGCTGGAAAAGATCTCCGCAGTCATCTCGTTTGTTGGTGTCAAACTCAAATAGAAAGGATTTCCTTCAGGCTTCATATTGACTTAGAAAACCACCAATTAACTAACATTATGTCCTGCATTGTATTTTTATTTATTTTGTTAAGCATCTCCCAATTACATTTTAATATAGTTAGGGACACGCTGGGAAGTTTTGTGTGTTTGGCAGCTCTGATCTAAGCTAATCCCCTTATTTTACAAATGAAGAAACCGAGGCCTAGGGAGGGTGAGCCACTTGTCTGATTTAGATCAGATCTAGAACTAGAAGAGACCCTCAGAGGCGTTCTTGTTCAACTTTCCATTTGGCAGATGAGAATCAGAGCCCAGGCAAGAAAGAGAATTACCCAAGGTCACTTAGGTAATAAATATAGGGATTCTACATGGAGGTCTTCAGGCAGTCTCTGGCTGTCTCCATACACTCTTACAGTAACTGAGAGAGCCCTTCCTTTGCCTTGATAGCTCTACTGGAGGAAACAATATTTGATTGGCATGTCTGTAAAGTGATAGTTCACATGTGATGGGTCTAGGGAACTCTCAAGTGGGAAATGCCTTCTACCAAAGCAGGCTGGCTCATTCTCTGCCACTCAGAGAATTGACTAGAGCTTTAAGAGGTGAGGTGACTTAATCAGGGTCACACAGCTGGCATGAGACAGCAGCAGGACCTGTATCCAGGTGTCCCCAGCTTCAAGGCTAGCTCTCTAACCACTATGCAAAACTGTCTCCAATCAGACACATACACATATTCTTTTTTTGGAAAATGTTTATCTTTCCAATTACATGTAAAGCATTTTTAATGATTTTTAAAAAATTTTGAGTTCCAAATTCTCCCCTGCCCCTTTCTTGAGAAGACAAGCAATTTGATATAGATTATACATGTGCAGTCAATGCGTGTACTATTTCAAGGATTAATGACTTCGTCATTGTGGGTACTCAGTCTATTGACGGAGATCCCAGCCCTTCCCCCCACCTTGTTCTTTTGTAGATGGTTATCACCAGTTGCTTTGGAGAGAAACATTCATCACACCTTGGCCAACCAGGTGACCCTCTCCCAACTTAGCTAAGCTGGTCCTCAGAGTCAGGTATTCGGTGCTTTTCAGGACCCACACTCAAAGCCTTTCCAGGTTTGTAGGACCTAACATAAGTGATACTCTGCTGATACAGCCTTTAGAAACCCAGGATAACCCCTATGCCACACAGGAGTGTGTTGGAGCTCACTCAAACCAGTAAAAATTCATCGGATTTTTTATATTTTCAGTGTGAGCATTTACATCTCAGAAATCAACAAAGTTACAAAGCAGGGCTTGATTGATTGATTTATTTTTTTGATTGCCTAGATGGAAGAAAGTGATGGAGGAAATGTTAATAATTCAGATTAAGCTTAAAAATGGCTTGGGATTTTCTAGAGAGCCCGTTGTTAAACACTGCATACTACAGCACAGGATCAACCAGTCTCCAAGTGCAGATCTGGGCACAGATTGGAAAGGTGGGGTGAGCAAGAGTGGGGAACTGGGGATGACTCCAAGGAGAGGTCGTGCCTTTAACAGTCATGGGGAGGCTGGAAAAAGGGAAGGTTTGGGGTGAAAGGTTAGGAGTTCTGTTTTGGACACGCTGAGGTTGAGACATCTCTGGGATATCTAGTTGAACCTGTCCAGTAGGTGATGTGAAGCTGGGATTCAGGGGAGGCTTCAGGCTAGAAAGATCTGTGGAGAGCATCTCTTCTGACACTCTGATTATACCAATAAAGTAAATAAAACCCCCAGACATTGTGACTTGTCCAGGGTCATATAGATGGGAAGTAGGCAGAATTCAAATCCAGGACATCATTCAGTTGCATCATATTGCCACTATTTCTAGTGATAACGGAAGTTGGATTGGAGCGGACAGTAATCTCAAAGAGTGTCAAGGAACTCTCTCTCTCTCTCTCTCTTACACACACACACACACACACACACACACACACACACACACACACATGAACACCACTCCTACCATAGGTACAGATCTATGGTTTACAGGGCTTTTTCCTCATAGGGAGAGAGGATGTTACAGTGGAAATGCCACTGGATTTTAAGTCATGGAAGGGAGGAAGGAAAGAAATAAGGAAGGGAAGGAGGGAAAGAAGGAAGCAAGTGTTTATTAACCACTTATATGCCAGGCAGGGTGCTAAATGTTTTCCAAATATTTTATCCTCACAACCACCCTGGGAGGTAGGTGCTACCTAGCAGACCATAAAAACCATAGATTTGTAAATATAAGGAACTTTGGTGGTCACTCAACTCCTTTGTGGATATCCCCAGTGACAGGGAACTCATAGCCTCCCCCAGCATTTCACTAATCTTTGAATAGTCCTAAACCTGGAGCAGGCCAATGCAGTCTGAATCATAGCGATCTTTTTTTTTTTTTGTGATCCGACCAATGCCTTGGCATCGTAACAGCGGTATGACTTCCCCAGGATCATTGGCAGGCAAGCTAGAGGCCTTCACAGTCCATTACAAGGGTTCCTGGCAGGGCCAGCCCTTGGCAGGGTTGTAAAATAGGCAATTGGTCTTAAGCAAAGCTTCGGCTCCCCCTTCCTGCCTTCATTTTTCTTGCGCCATCTTGGGCACTGC